CTCACCTACATCGTCCATATAGGACGACTCGGGAACTCAACTCCTACCCCGGGCAGCTCACCTATCCCCTTATGCCCAGGGGAAAGGTATCAAGCCGTTTGACAGCTGATGCTAGCTGTCAAACCGGCTTTTACGCGAAACAGGCGGGAGGCAGCAAACAGCTGCGACCGACGAAGACGCCTGCCACCGGAAGTCCAAAATGCAGATCCAATTATTTAATTATAATTTCAGGGCTTTATTTCCCTATGTAGTCAGACACCACCATTTTAGAGGGTGGGGCAAAAACCCGTTCCCTTCCCTCTCTCCTCGCAGGGGGAAGCAGTTTCAAAAAGCTTTTTACAGGAAAAAAAACTTGGGTTAGAAAGAAGGTAAGGTCTCACCCAGTTCCTCTGCGGTGCTTTCAAGTGCTTAGTTGTAAATTTGGCTTCGGCTGGAAACGGCATAAGTGATGGGCCACGTGAATGGCCAATCTTTTCCCCGTCAGTTAGAAGAGCTGCTCCGGATCAAATGGAAGGGCTGCTGCCCTTCTGCGATCAGTCGGAGGTCCTCTTCACGCTTGTCGCCCCTCCAGGGCGACCTTTGACCCTTTGCAGGGTCCCCCGGTGGGAGAAAACCAGACGGCGGGGAGAGCAATCGCCCCGCACGTCCGCCAGCGCCACGATCGCAAACCGGAAGCCTGCCAACACAATTCTTCAGCAGCTTCTGGTCTCACGCTGATAAAGGACACCTGTAGATTCAAAACTCTCTTCCCTTCCTCCCCCTTCCATTGCCAAGTTAGGAGCACACTGTGGTCCTAAAGGCAGTGGGGTTCGTAGCTTGACAGCTACACCTTATTTTTGTAACCAGTGAGCGCGGTAAATTTCATAGCTGGCTTGACTTTACTGCAACCAACATCCTTAGTAAAAGAACCCTTTGCTTTAACCAAATGGAGTCAAAGGCTTTTCTTTCCTAAGGGATCGGATTGGGGCAGGTCTCACAAATTAGTTAATTGCTAACTTGAACAAGAACCAGATGATCATCTCACCTGTCCTCAAACAGCTGCAAAGGGTTTCTGGACTTTTTACAAGTATGGATCTTTTAAACCCTTTTACAGCTTAAAATTGGGTCCCTGAAATCCCCCTCCCCCATGTCAGTTTCTATTGTTCAGGGACTGACCTTTATGGTAATAGAGGGAGCTGTCTTCGGTAACAGATGTTGTAGGTTGAGTGGCAATTGTAGCAGCTTCTCCACACTAATTCCCTCTGTCCTAAGCTAATTAATATCTGTGATTAGCTCAGTCCTGAGCTAATTAATATCTGCAAAGTTTTCTGTAAGGCAGGGGTCTTGAAACTTGGCCCTTTTATGACTCATGGACTTCAACTCCCAGAATTCCTCAGCCAGTGTGCCTGGCTGAGGAATTCTGGGAGTTGAAGTCCATGAGTCATAAAAGGGCCAAGTTTCAAGACCCCTGCTGTAAGGGAATGGAGACACTCATTTTATTCTTTGCCTCAAGCTAATTCATTGGGCAAACCTGATTTTTTTCTCTAGACTGAAAGTGCAAGGGATGATAAACAAGAACAAGGACTGTAAACTCCTTTTCCAAATTTCTTCATGCTTTTTTTAAAAAGTTATGTTTATATAGTCAGTATATTGGAACATCAATGTGAATATTTTATACCCAAGTATTTTTGTAAGCTGTATTTCACATGCTTCAAAATATCAGAATGAACTTTATTGGACAAACAATATGCAATGGTTGCCCTGGCTTAGAATAACAATATGTTATATACTGAGTCAGGTTTATAGGATTTTATTTGGAAAGACTTATTTAAAAAGTGTGTGTTGGAAAGCAACCAACCCGGTTGGGAGGAGGGCTCAAGCTAGGAATCAGCCTGGACTCGCTCTGTAAACACAAGAGTGCTTGGTCTGACGACCACCACCCCTCCCCTGAATGCCTTAAGAGTCTTATCTGGTTGTTTCCTGGTGAAAGCTGCCAGTCTGGAGAGCTTCCTGTGTAAAGGGCAGGAACTCTACACATGTGGGTCTAGTTGTTCACACCTAATAGTGTGACAACATGAGAACTAGCAACTTGATTCTGCTCCTTTGGGAAACAAGAACACACACACACACACTTTCCCCCAAGCTACTAGTTTATTAGAAAGTTTATTTTTCTCATTTTACAGCACATATATTTTTATTTATATATATATACACAGGCACACACACACACAATTTTATGTGACAAAATTTAATATAGCCTGCTGATACTGAAATAGTGTGTTCTTTGTTGGAACAGTTCTTGCAGAAGTTCAGTCTCCTCTTGTGCCACACTGGAATGCTGGATCTTGGGTCTTAATGTCATGGAAATGAAGCACTCAGTAATTGCAGTAATACTGTTTTACTACTTCAGGTATCTAAGCAACTAGAAACCGAGTCTCTTGGTCAGAGCAGCATTTTCCAGTGCTAATTTTTTTCTGGCAAGTGTAAGGAAGCCTAGAGCCTGAAAGATTCAGAGAAGTAACAGTGGTTATATTTGAAGTTTTGGAGTGGAGGCCAATTTCCATGAACACTAGCAGTACTGTAGTTGGACAGTTGGGTGATAAATAGCCATGGCGTCACAGAAAGCTCACTTTCTTTTGTAGCCTTCTTTCCCACCAGAGATGATGAAATTAAATGAAAGGTGTGGGAACGGTAACCAAATAATTCTGTCTCTCCTAAGGCAGACATTCCCTCCATTAAAAGGGACAGCTATGAAATCAGGTAACCTATCACTCTGGAAAGAATCCAAATAAAAATAAACTACTCAGAATCTTTCCAAATCACATACAGTAAAGGCACACATTTAAACAACAGCTTTAACATAAACACAACTGTGTGTGCATACACACAAACACACACCTCTATATAGAAGCTATGTTGCTGCAAAGACTTCAGTCCCAAGAAAAATTATTAGACTTTGAGAGTTTTCTGTGGGACAGACCTTTTCTTCTGACTGGAAAGTCATTTGGATTTTCTGCTCTGCCCATCCAATGGGCTGCTTCTCTCCAACTAGCAGCCTCGCTCCTGACAAGAGGATGCAGTGAAGACCAAAGTATCACACTGGCTTTTTTTCCCCACAGATGTTCCAAGATATAGCAATAGCAATAACACTTAGACTTATATACCGCTCCAGAGTGCTTCACAGAACTCTCTGGTCGCTTTACAATGTCAGCATATTGCCCCCAACAATCTGGGTCCTCATTTGACTGACGTCAAAAGGATGGAAGGCTGAGTCAACCTTGAGCCAGTCAAGATCAAACTCCTGGCTGCATTCTAACCACTGCGCTACCAGCTGCTGGAATTCATTAGCTATGGTACAAAAAGGTATAATGCTCACTACTTTATTCCAAACCTTGTCACATTTTTGCCAGTAAAATGAAGCACCTCTTATTTTTTTTTCCATTGCATGGTACCCAAGAAAACAGAACTGAGCTTGAATAGACATGCTTGAAGTCTTCTTGTGCCTTTGCCACAATGAGAAGCTCTGAACATTTGATGAAAGCTTTATTTCCAACTACATTTAAATGTATATATAACCCAATCAACCTGAAAAACTACCACTCAAAGAGCGAGGTATAAAAATGTTATTGCAGTATGTACTATCATTATGGAACATTTGTCAGAAGAGATACAAAAAACAGCATTGACATGTAGAACTCTGCAATTTTTAAAATACTTTTCTCTTCTGGAAAAAAAAACATAAGTTAATAAGGAATCATCAACTATTACAGAGGACAGAGTACAAGTCAGGTTCTGGATATTCCCAGGATTCTAGTACAACATATTGCTTCAAAGACTGATAAAGGAATTACTTTCTGTTCTCTCCCCTTGTGGCAGTGGCATAGGGAGGATAGCAGGGCCAGGCTTGCTTGAGAAGGAAGCTTGCTGTTTGTGATAATCAGTGGGTTGCTGAGAATGGTTCTTGGTTGGGTAGGGGGAGGAACAGAGGAATGGGCCAGATGTTGATCATCTTGTGGCTCTTTTGCTTAAAGTTTTAAGCTTTAAAGTGGACTCAAATAAATAGCAAATAAGGAGGGCAAATAATTTATACTCATTCAGGGTTTCAAAGTGGAGAGGAAATGATTTAAAATCACAAGCATCAGCAATTAAGAGGGGCATAAGGGCTGAAGAACTTCACATTCATATAGATGTGAATCACCTCTCTGGGTGTAGAGGACCCTGAAAATACCGACAAAGCAGAACTCCAGCAATATTTCCCCCCTTTCCATGGATATGTTGCATTCACTTCCCTTTTCCATGCCCAGTTCTCCCATTTCACTATGCTCAGGTGGTGTCAGTCATGGCCTTCAGACAGTCTGTACAAAACACCAATGCACAATATATGCCCCTGTCTTCTCCCCAAAAGAGGCCACATCTTTCTCACTTCTTCATGTGCCATGACTGGGTGGGTGCTGCAAATCCTGCCTTGAGAAAATGGGGTGCAGAAGGGGATGGAGGTGTAATGCTGTAGCAGCAGTGATTGCTGGTCGGGGGGCTAAGAGAGTTGGGTAGAGGGCAGCATGGGGGACAGGATGAAAAGTGAAAGGACCTGGGTGGATGGCTGAAGCAGGGATGATATGGATTGGGTGGCTGGCCAGGAATGTAGCAGGGTGCCCAGGGATGATTGAGTGGGTTAAGTGGGACAATGAGATTGGGGTGAAATGGGGTTGGGGAATGTGATGCACTTGAGCAAGAGGCTGGGGATGTGGATGAGGGTGGATTCCAATGGCTGCAGCTGCTGCTGCAGCATGATGCTGCAGGATGGCATGCTGCACTGTGGTAATGGAGGTGGCTGCAGCTGCTGTAGGCTGTTGGATGTGGATGGGCTGCAAGGCAGAGGCTGTGGCAGGAGCTAAGGCAGCTGAGGCGGGAAAGGCCTTGACCTGCTTGGCAAGGAGCTGTTGCTGAATATGCTGCTGAGCTGCTTGCTGGAGCTTGCTATATTTCTCCATCTCTTCTGGGGTGAAGATGATGGGCTGGCTCTCCAGAGGTGCCAGGGAAGAATCCTCAGTGCCCTCAGGCTCCCCACTGATGCTGGACTCCCCACTCTGTGCTACATAGCTAGGGAAATGCTCTACATCTGGGACTAAAGGTACCATTCTTCCTTCTATAGAGACAGGTTTGTTCCTGTTGTCAAGAGGCTCTAAAGCTTCATTTTCATTGGGATCATGGAGGAAGTTGTGTGGCACAACCAGGTCACCAGATTCACACTGCTCTGGGAGTACTGGGGGTTCAAGAAGAAGAGGAGCAAGCTTTGTGGCTACTTCTTCTGAGTTCTGATCACCTGAAACATTGTCCTGTATTCCAGTCACCATGGTTTCCTCCACTTGAGGCTGGCTTCCTGAAACAGTGTCATGCGTTGCTTCAGCCAGCTTGGATAGTTCCAATTCTTCTCCTCTTTCTAAACCAGATTCCTCATACTGCTTGTCACTTGGTTTTCTAACTGCAGGAAGTTTTCCAATTAATGGAAGAACAGGCTTATTGTCTAATGAGGGAGGAAGCTTTGGGCCAAAGTAGCCCTGTGGTGGATCTTTCAGCTTAATTCCAACCTTGTGAGATCCTGCAATGGATTCATCATTGCTGCTAGATTTCTTCTCTACTTTTCTACATTGGATCTTTTCCAGGAGTTTAGCTGTGGCAGAATTTTTCTCCTCAGAGTTATAGCTGTCCCCAAAGTTAGAGCTGCTGGTATTTTGAGAGAGACTGGAGGCTCTTGTAGCTTCATCGCCTCTGGCTTCTTCCTTTCTTGCACACCCGTCACCTTGTCTGGCTTTGAAGTAATGAGGAGACTGTGAGCGGTAGATCTTGGACCGGATGAAATCACGTCGGCCAGATCTTCTCTCCCTAGGGCTTTCATGACCATGGGACCCCTTCCATGAGAGAGATCTCTGTGAAAGGCTTCTTGTACTCCGACTGCGGTCTCGGCTGTAGCTTCTGCTCTGTTTCCAGCTATGTTCTGTTCGGTTCTTGCTCCGCCGCTTACTTCGACCATGACTACAGCTACTGCTGCGCATCCTTCCTTGACTTCTAGTCCTTAACCTCCCTCTGGTGTGAGTTCGACTGCTGCTCCTGCTCCAGGACCTGCTTCTGCTCAGACTGTAGTCATCTTCTGAAGAGGAGTACTTGTGCCTCTTTGACCTGTGCTTGGAACTGGAATAATCTGAATAATCCTCTGAGTCATGGGAGTGCTTAGTACGACTTCGTGACCAGTCACTGTAATCACTATAGCTGTCTTCTGAGTAGCTACATTGCCGGCTGTACTGACTATTGTCAGAGGAAGCATATGAAGTTGATGAGTAGGATCTCTGAGATGATCTTCTTGAGGAGTGTCTATGTCCTGCCTGGGAGTGGCTTCGTGAACAGTCACTAGCAGAGTCATAATCATCAGTATATTGTGATACTGACTTCTGCCTCAAGTGCTTGTTGTAGGAGGAGTCTCTGTCACTCTCATAGCTACCACTGCTCTGTTGGCCTCGATGACTGGGGTGAACTGAAGTGGAGGTGGATGGTCGCCTTTTGCTTGCAGACAAAGTGTCCTGCAAGTCCCCCTTGGTTTTCTTGTTGCCATGATCTTGGAAAGAGATACCACTGTCCTCTTTCTTACTGCTTTCTTCAGTAGAAAGAGACTTCCTCTGAGAGTCTTGCACACACCACTTTCTTTTTTTAGAATAGCCAGTAACCTCAGTCCTTTGCATCCACTCAGCCTCAGTGGGAAAAGAAAATTTGTTCTTTTTGTGCTTGTGTTTCTTCTGCTTCTTGGATTTATCTTCTGCTAAGTCCCCTTCTCTGCTTTTTTCCTCTGCCTCACATTTGCGCCTGTGTTTACGTTTGGTGGATTTTTTGTGCTTCTTCTTTTTGTGTTTGTGAGACTTCCCCATTTTGTCATTGTGACTAGTAAGATTGCCTCTGCTGCTGTTTTCCACATTTTCACTTTTGCAAATTCTTACAGGACTGACTTCCTTCTTGTCACAGTACTTGCTTTCTGGCACTGCAGTTGAACCACCAGCTAGAAGATCCATCTCTTTGCTCTTGCTTGCATCACTATCTTCAGTAGCCTGCATTTTCTCCTTCAAAAGGTTTATTGTACCTTTCTGTTTTTCTGTTCCTTTCATTTTAGTGTCTGTGTTACGACACAGCTTAAACTCAAAATATAAGGGATTGCAGCTATATGACACAGAGGGTTTTGCTCTGGTGAAGATTAGCAGTTCAGAAGGCCACTGGAGGGTGGTGTTCTCATCCTTACTCAGAACAGGGAAGAACGACCCTGATAAATGTTTAGGCCCTTCTGTGGTTTCTCTACTAGTTCCTGCAGCCTGGGAAATCTCATTAATGACATCTGAGTCTACAAAAACATTTCCCTTAAGTTGTTTTCCTTCTTGCTTGCCTATTTCCTCCAAAATGTCCATTTTGTTGCTTTGGTTGGCAGCACTCTGCTCCTTCTGAAGGATCACACATTCTGCTACTGTCTCTTTCTCATCACTTTTTGCCACATTGAGTTTGGGGGAATTGCTTTGTTTCCTTTCATGAGTTATTTTTTTGCTTGCAGCTTCTGCTTCTACTTGGTCTGTTGCCTTCATAAACAGCAAAAACTGGAAGTTGGGCTTCACCTTACAATGTGCAGGGGGAATATAGTGATAATATTCTGGTTCTACTGCCACTGGCCCATCATCACTTTTCATCTTTTTTAGCTTTGATAAGGTGGCATCTTTCTCATGTGATTGCTCATCATCATCCCCCTTGCTGTCAGGGCTATTTGTCCCCTCAATTTCCCCAATTATTCCCAAAGTTCCATAAGATGTATGGGCTCTTTCATCAGTTTTGACTTCATCATCAGGAGAACAGGATTCATCCACATGGTCTTTGAATACCGAGGCAAGTGATTCTAGCTTTACAGGGGCCTTTTTGGCAAATGAGAAAGACACACCTGTCTTGTTAATTCCTAGACTGACAGCTTGTGATATCTGGACAGGAACCTGAGCAAGTCCAGGACTGCTACTGATTTGTCCACCAGGAAATGTCAAATCCACATCATCCCCTCCTCCTTCATCTACTGCTACAGTAGTGGTTCTAAACATTGGCCCACTTCCTGGAGCACTGGAAGACAGGGAAGGGGGAAAAGCAGACAAAGAAAGGTTAGAACATATGGTTACTAACATTTCCACCTTAATGTTACACTCAAAACCTTACTCCATGCATCTGCAATCTTTTGTTACCTTTTATGCAATTGCTCTGCAAATTATGAATATATTCAGTAACCATTGCTTTGAAATCTCTTTCCCTGTGCAATATGTTTAACAAGTTGCTCTTATAAGCACTAGGGAATTGTTACTGTGCTCTAAAGCATATATTTATGAGAAAGTGAATTAACTCAGTATAAAGTTTAAAACTAGATGTATACAATTCTAGCCTTCAAAATCAAGGATAAAAAAACCTCAAGAAAATGACTGGGAACAAAGTACACAGTTCTGATGCATACATGGAAGTTTGTATGAATAGATGCCCCACTTGTTTCAGGCTTAAGTCCTTTTCCATATAAAATACCTGAACTGCTGGCTTTAACAGTTCCAGTTCCTTCCTGTACTCATATCATACCCTATATTTTTAAAAAATCATCCCAAATAGGTCAGAGAGAGGAGGTGGGCATTCCTGTTTTGAGGAGATGACGGATTAAAGTTTTGGTCTACAAAGATCTAAATGTCATGGTTCCGATAGATGAAACCAGTTAAAAGAACTTCAAGGCAAGAATTCTTCCTTAAAGAACATTTTATTTAGGAAACGAAGTATTGGCACTTACATAGTTGAACCCCTCCTCCCAGATACAAAGTAACAAATTGCAATTCCCACCCCACAAGACCTGTCATAAATCACATTTCCCAATTAGCACAAAACGAGGGCTTTTCTCTCCAGCCTCTCAGCCCGCCAAAAGCTTATCAGAACACATCCTTGAGTTCCCACACTTCTACATTGTTATGGCTAGCTAAACCTTCAGGCATTTACCCCATCCCCCTTTCTACATCTGAACTCTAAAAGAATAGAAAGGCACTGTCATGGTTCTGACAGATGAAACTCTTCAAAAGAACTTCGAGGCATTGTTTTCCTTAAAGAATCTTTTATTCGAGTAGCATAATATCGGCACTACATAATCGAAGCCAAAAACTGAATTCCCCTCCACTGGGTACATAGTATCAAAGCACAATTCCCTCCTCCAATTAACAGTCATAAATCACATTCCCCAATTAGCTTGAAGCGCGGGCTTCCTCTCCAGTTCTCCAGCCTGCCAATTCTTTATCAGCTCTGGGCTCAATAACCTTGATTCTCACGCTACGTTTAGTGTTGTTATGTCTAGCTAGACTTTCATTCACACACACACCCCTCCCAGCATCATCTAACTCTAAAAGCGAAAGGGAAAAAGATGGCTACATTTCCATCTATTGTCAATGCAAAACGTCCGATGTTAGCAGCGTTGCCAGGCACATTAAAAGCAAGAGAAAAAATGGCTGCTGGTTTTTTAGTTGTCAGAGCAACGACATCCATTGTCACAGCGTTGACATCCGGCCCCCCTTAACAAAAGGTGTAATCCTGCAATTTAAACAGAAGCATAGGTTAAGGGTTGCCTCTTGGCTTATTGGGGTGCTGGTCATAGAATTTACGGATGAGCCTATCAGCTTTCACATCATCAGATTTCACCCAAGCGGCATCCGATAATGGGTATCCCTTCCACTGTACTAAATACTGTAACTTTCCCTTAAAAATTCTAGAATCAAGTATACGTCTTACTTCGTAATGTGTTTGTCCAGCTACCACTAGGGGACCAGGTGCTTTCTTGGGAGGAGGTCATAAAGTGGGTCTCCGGAAAGGTTTTAATAAGCTGCAATGAAAAACAGGGTGAATTTTTCCTAGGAGTTGAGGGAGTTTCAACTCCACTGTAACTGGGTTTATGATTCTGACAATGGGGAAAGGACCTAGGCATTTCGGTCCTAATTTCTTACTAGGCAATTTGAGTCGTAGGTATTTTGTGGATAGGTAAACTTTTTCCCCAACATGGAACGATCTCTGGGAAGCCCTTTTCTTATCAGCTTGTTTTTATAGGCTTTTTTTCAGCGCGATTTTCGTTTTGTCCCATACTTCCCCCCACCCCGCCAGCCATTGGTCAAAAGTCTGGGAGGTAGAAGGTCCTTGAGGGTACTCAGATATTGGGTTGAATTCCTTCCCCGTAGCGACCTTAAAAGGTGTAAAACCAGTGCTGCTATGAACAGTGTTGTTGTAAGCCACCTCAGCGAAAGGCATCTAAGGTATTGCTCAACCACTGAGTTCGCTTTTTCAGCCGCCCCATTCGTAGACGGATGAAAAGCCGACGACAACCCATGCGATGAACCAATTATTGCCAAAAACGCTCTCCAAAACTTGGCCGTAAACTACACCCCCGTCAGAGATTATGCGTTTTGGTGCACCATGCAATCTATAAATGTGTTTTAGAAAATTTTGGCCAGTTTCTGGGCCGACGGGAGTCCCTTGCAGGCGATAAAATGAGCCTGCTTTGAAAAAAGATCAATCACAGTCCATATTACCGTATGTCCTCTGCTTTCAGGTAACTCAACTATAAAATCCATGGCAATCTCTTCCCATGGCTGGGAAGAGTCCGTGATGGGCTGCAACAGCCAAGGAGTTTTCCCCGGAATTCTTTTCATGGTGGCACATACTACACAGCTTTTGACATAGTTTTCTACGTCCTTTTTCAAACCTGGCCACCAAAACTGTCAGCGAATCAAGTGTAGCGTTTTCAAATAGCCAAAATGTCCAGCTGCTACATCACTAGCATCGAATTGAATTACAAATGGCTCCCCCGGGCAGGGGTGCTTTAAGACCGGTTCGACCGCAAACAGTCTCTTTAAGTTCTCAAAAGCAGTTTGACAGTTCATAGTCCATGCTAGCGGTTGGCCCGCTCGTGGCTTTCCCCACTCTTGTCCCGTTTTCAATAAGTCCGTGAGAGGTAAAGCAATTTCGGCAAAGGAAGGAATGAATTGCCAATAAAAGTTTGCAAACCCCAGAAAGCTTTGAAGTTGTTTTCAAATCTTTGGGGGTTGCCATTCGATCACAGCTTGCACTTTACCTGGATCCATCTCAACACCCTCACTGGAGATTTTGTAACCCAGGTAATCCAGTCAGGTTTGGTGGAACTCACACTTCGATAATTTGACATATAGTTTAGCACTTAGTAGTTTCTTTAACACCTCCCGCACTAAACTCACATGGTCAGTCATATTTTCGCTATAAATTAGGATGTCATCAAGATACACCAAAACCCCTTTGTATAGATGATCATGTAGCACCTGGTTAATCAGTTGCATGAAGACAGCTGGAGCCACCTGTAGTCCAAATGGCATAACTTTGAACTGATAGCTGCCTATAGGACAGTTAAATGCAGTTTCCCATTCATCTCCTTCTTTTATTCTCACTCGGTAGTACGCTTCTCTTAGATCTAGTTTGGTGAAGATACGCCCCTTTGCCAGATGGGTTAGTAGGTCCTTCAGGAGGGGGTACTTATTCTCCGCACTTACACAGTTTAACCCTTTATAATCAACACAGAGCCTCAGCGACCTGCCTTTTTTTCCTTAAACAAAACCGGAACCCTCACTTGGGATTTAGCCGGCCCAATGAAGCCTCTGGCTAGGTTTTTAATCACATACTGCTGTAGTTCTTCCATTTTGATGGGGGACATAGCATACATTTTTGGTTTAGGGAGCTTGGCCCCCGGTAATATTTCAATGGTGCAGTCATTTGGCTGATGTGGTGGTAGTACATCACATTCTTTTTCACTAAACACCTCCGCTAAATCCCGGTACTCACTGGGGATGAGTGGCTCGCCAGGTAGGGGAATGTTGGCCACTTTTACTGTTTCTGCTGATGGATCTGGTTCTCCAGTAACGCCAAAAGAATTAAGAGGGGGGTTGGGTCCTATTGGCAATCTCACGGTCCTCATCCCCTTTTCCCACCAAATAAAAGGCTTCCACTTGTCTAACCAAGCTAAACCTAAAATCACAGCTTCAGTCATTTTCGGAGCCACTACAAAATGGATGAGCTCCCAATGTTCACCTATTTCTAAACGTATGGGTTCAGTTAGGTGGGTGACTAAAGTTCCTCCCATTAAAGATCAATCCGTTTGCTCAAATCTCATGGGTTTGGAGAGCAATCGGCAAACTGTTAATGCATCGGGAGCATCCTGAGCCCACTAGCACCTTTAAGTCCATTTGTACCCCTGTCTTAGGGACTAGGAGCTTGGCAGTGAGTGAGAAAGGTGGGACGGGCCGACTCACCATCGGGTCGTTTTCTCCCTCATCGTCACTGTTGTAGGAGGGCACAGTGGTGGCTGGAGTCTCAGCTCTCTCCTGTGTAGGCGATGCGATCTGGGTGACAGGTTCCTGTATGGCCCGGCTTGACTTTTCTTTTGTCGGCTGCTGGGCAGGCTTCTTCCTCTCCGGCGGTTCCGATCTACCTCTCTGCTGGGGGTATGGGACCGGACAATTTGCCGCTCGATGCCCTGGTTGGCCACATCTGAAGCACTTGATCGGCGGGCCCGTAGATGGCTTAGGGGATTCCGCGGCCGTGATTGCTGGGGTTCTCTGCGGTGGTGGCCATCTGGCTTGTTCTGGCTTCAGCCCGCTTCTTATAGTGAGCAAGCTCGATGTCTAGCTTCACTGCCCCTCGGTACCACTCCTGTAGTTGATCAGGAACCCCCTGAGTGATACAGGCCTGGGATAGATGGTCATCTAGCCCCTCTTTGAAGTGATGCACCAGGGAGTGTTCTGGCCACCTCTCCATCTAACCTGTCACTCTCCGAAATTCTCGTACATATTCCAATGCGGGCCTGCCGGCTTGCTTCACCTTGTGAATGTATTTCTCAGCCTTGAGAGCTATGGATTCGTCCTCGAATCTGGTTCTCAAACCTCGGATGAAGAGATGGAGGTTCCCTAATTCAGGTGCTTGTTCGTTGTATAAGTTATTCAGCCACTCAGATGCTGGTGGCTCTGAGCGTGGAGTTGCCGCCCGAGCTCCGTCACTGGGGCTAAGGCTTCTTCTGGGCATAGATTGGTGCTGACCTCACCGGTCATCACACTCACTAGTGGGCAAAGAGTGGGTGATCTGTCCCTCGCTTCTCACGTCTAGTCCCTCAAACTTCTCCACCAACTTCTCCACTGATTGGCTACGGACTGCAGACAGGTACCTCCACTCATTTGAATCTTCTGCTGCCGCCAACCTTTTTGTTCTTCTCCGTTCGGGGGAGCGTGATTCCTGTGAGGCACCCGCTTGCAACTCTGACTCAGCCACTCTCGAAGAACTCTTCTTTGATTGGGCTGCCTCGGGATGCTTAGGGTCTTCACTGGGCAGGGTCCACTTCGAGGACCACAATAGCTCCCGCGTTTTGGGTCTCGCTCCCGCTGCCAGAAATTCCGAACTCACTTTCTCCAACGATGCAAGGGCTTGCGCTCCCTCTGCTGAGGCAGTTGCCATGGTCGGGGTGCTGGCTGTGGGTGCATCCTTTTTCTCCATGCTGAGATCCTCCCTGAATCTTTGTCAACCTCCCCTCTGTTTTGGGACGGTGACTGGAGCTCAGGACCCCAAAGATGTTAGAGTAGAATATATTCTTGGGTTAATGTCATGGTTCCGATAGATGAAACCAGTTAAAAGAACTTCAAGGCAAGAATTCTTCCTTAAAGAACATTTTTTTTAAACAAATTTTTATTCATTTTTTAAAATAAACAAATATACAATTATGGCATACATTAATAATAAAAAAACAAACTAAAAACCTCCTATTCTAAGATGCTCAGCAGCCTCTCAGGACCACATTCACCCTCTCTTCTACCTACTTCCCTACTCCTCCTTCCTTCTTCCTCCTTCCTCTCCACCCTCTCAACAACTCTACCCTATACATCCCCCCTCCTTCTCTCCTCCTCTTTCAGATGTGGTCCCGGAGGCCGACTGAGCCTCCTTTCTTCAATAAGCACATTATATCTCACTACCATTCAAGTATACCAAAATATAACTATACATAAGAAATCCCTTTCCCCCCTCCCCCCCTGGACTTCCCGGAACCAAATACAGGATTAAAACACCTCCCATTCCATATCTAAATTACAATTTAACTAAACAAACATAATACAATCAATATTTACGTACTTTAACTCTAATAAAACCAACATTTAAGCTATAAACTAAAATACATACAAAACAATTTTTAAGGATCTAAATATTATGTATAAAACAACTTATATAAATTTTCTCTTAAATTTTGCACTTAAATTTTTCCTTCACTTTCTTCACTCTTAAGTCAATACTTTCGAGGAAATCATCTTATCTTTCATTGAATCAACAGCAACATTCCAGTCTCCAAACATATACAAAAACCTATAAAATTATTTATGATAAATACATATATAAATTTTTTCTTAAATCTCTTATAATCATCCAAATATCTTAAACCCATTAAATACAATCTTTAACTTCTTAAAACAATATAAATCCTTTAGAATAATATAATTATATATCATTTATAATCCTATAACAAATTCAAACCATAATATTACTACTCCAAAGTTTTCTAAATCAAAAACCTAAATAAAATAAAAAAACTTTCAAAACATTCATATAAGTTTATCCTCCTGGGTCTCTTCACTCTACAAATCCAAGGACTTTGAAAACATTCTTCTTATTTATATTATTAGTCCAAAAATTTAAAGGTATAAGCTTCAAAAACATTTCTTATTAGTCTGTCCCAGCTCTTCCATTTTGCATCTCCCCCCGGCTTCCCATTCTTTTTCACATCACTGATACCAAATCAACCTTCAGAGTCGATGAGTCTTCTGCCTTTTACATTTTATAACGTGTCCGAAATTTCTGCAGGTAGTAAGCCTGTAAGCTTCTTCCAAAAACACGAACAGCAACATCTTCAGCTGGTTTTCTCTGATGCACGACCCGTAAATTAATTCTATATAAACTTTTTTTTCTCAAAATTCCACCAGGGAGGTACACCAGGACCATAGCCAAATCTGTTACAACTTCCTTTCCCAGCTTTCCAAGCTTATCATTTTCCAAATCTCTACAATATAGCATATCATTTTGGGGTGTTTCCATAACATCTTCTTCAACCTCTTCACATAATTTATCCACCCGTTGTTCTGAACAATCTGGAACTATAAACCTCTGGAGAGCAAATGCCACAGTTTCATATGATTCTTCCAATTTCTTAACCCAGAGATCTTTAACTTCCACACTATATTGCTTAACTGCTTGCATCAAAACATCCTGTAAGTCATTTGTAACTAAAGATAGAGGCATTTTCAGTAGATTTCACTCAGCAACCAGAAGAAAAGTAAGAAATTTTCTTTCTCTCTTTCTTTCTCAGTTCCGCAGCCATTTTGAAACCATTCTCCAAACTTCTTAAAATATCACTTCAGTAATCCAAAAGAGTAACAGTATAAATATCACCAACCAGTAGGCATTACAAATTCGTTGCAACTAAAACTTTCCAAAGCCGAAGGAGCAACAATATATCTCTGTCCAGTTAATAACCAGGAGAAAGTGAAAGTAAAGAACGAAAGCTCCAAAGAAACAGCAATTCCGCGGCCATTTCCTCTCACTTTAACTCTCTACAAAATAAAGAAGATGCTAGTATATTTTCAGAGTCAAAGTCACGAATAGTCCACTATAATTCCGAACCTCCTGCTTGGTTCCGTCTGCTTATAATTTAAATCCAGATATCTTTCGATAGCAGAGGTGGGAGCTGCATCTGGCTTCGCTCCAAATGGGTAGGAGCGAAGGCATCATGGGGCGCGGAGAATGTCCAGACTCCGGGCGAGCTAACATCTCTCACCCCCGATTAAAGAAAACCGGGGTGAAAGGAAGCTCTAGCCCTATCCGGACTAACTCACCCCCCCCTCTTCGCCCGAGGGACGAGGTTCCGAGCCGAGAGACAGCTGACGGACGCTGTCTCTTCAGGCTTTGACGCGCTCCCAGACGGGCGGCTAACAAAAGCCGCCATTCGGTGCAGCCTGTCACCACCGGAAGTCCCTTAAAGAACATTTTATTTAGGAAACAAAGTATCGGCACTTACATAGTTGAACCCAAGAATGAGATTCCCTCCTCCCAGATACAAAGTAACAAATTGTAATTCCCACCCCACAAGACCTGTCATAAATCACATTCCCAAATTAGCACAAAACGTGGGCTTTTCTCTCCAGCCTCTCAGCCTGCCAAAAGTTTATCAGAACACGTCCTTGAGTTCCCACACTTCTACATTGTTATGGCTAGCTAAACCTTCAGGCATTTACCCCATCCCCCCTTCTACATCTGTACTCTAAAAAGATAGAAAGGCACATTAAAAGCAAGAGAAAAATGGCTGCTGGTTTTTCAGTTGTCAGAGCGACATCCATTGTCACAGCGTTGACACTAAGCAGCAGCAGCAGCAGCAGCACTTCATTCTGTCTCTAGTGTATGACTTAAAGTAACTGCATATTTAGTTACAAGTCAGTCTAAATTGCATGTTGAAACAAAACTGCCTTTGGTTTTACCAACAGACAGCAATGTGCAAATTCTGTCAGTTTGAAGGCCACACCAGGCTTTGCAAGGAATATTGAGGAGTACAGTAAAAAACTGGAAGGGCCTAGCAGCCATGGTAGGCAACTTGAAGGTTTTTAAGGAACAAAATGGGTACCTGATGCAAAAAGTTCTTTAAAAAAAAAAAGCCCCCTGGACAGACGCTAGCTTTAAGTATTTTGCATCCTTGTAGTAGGTTATAATTCACCATTCAGGTTGCTTCCTTTGCTCAGCCAGCTCATGCAGACGTCGAAGGGCTTTCTCCTGCTTCCTCTCATCTTTCCGGGATCTTGAGGAAACATTGCGAGCAAATTCTCTTTGTTTGAGATCTTTTAATCTCTGTGCAAAATAAGAGAAGAAAATAATGATATAATTTATGGAGGGAAAAACAGACAATTCTTTAAGATACATCCAATAAGTGGTTATGGTTTCAATGAGCTCAGGAGAAAAACAGACTATAAAGCAATATTCATACACTTATTAAAAAGACTGATATTAGTAGGAATCACCCTAACACCCAAACACTCTAATGATTCGGCCTTCACAATCTCCTTTTCATTGTCATGAGATAATATATATGCAAATGTATCACATATCAGTGCAGGGAGGAAACAGCAAAAACACACAAGAAAAAAGCATTTGTAAACATAAATGCTCAGCATGCCTATAGACTTGTTTCTATGCAGCCTGCTGCAATATGTTACTATAGATACAGTATATCTGCCCATAATTCACAACATCTCCAGCAAATATGGTCATGTTGGCCAGGGAAGGATGGAAATGGAGTCTAATACATTAGGATTGTAATCAAATGTCAGAGGCTGGATTCAATATGGAAGAGCAAAAGCAAAAGCAAGAAAGAACAATATTCAGTTGTAATAGCAATGCTGCTTTATTATGTAAGCAGTAATTTTATATTCTGACTATGTAAAGTTGGAAAAAAGAGGCTATTATTCTTGTAATATAGTTAATAATAACACATTTCTTAGGAATGTTGTAAGAGTCACTTTTGGAAGGGTAATTGTTATCTTGTTAAGGTATCTTGTTCCTATGGAGCCCTAGTGGCACACTGGTTAGATTGCAGTACTGCAGGCAAACTCTGCCCACAGCCTGGAGCCCTGATGGGGCTCAAGGTTGACTCAGCCTTCCATCCTTCCGAGGTCGGTAAAACGAGGACCCATATTGTTGGGGGCAATATGCTGACATTGTAAACCGCCCCGAGAGTGCTATAAAGCACTATGGGGCGGTATATAAGTCTAATAGCAATAGCACTTAGACTTATATACTGCCACCAGGGCTCTTATAAGTCTAAAAGCTATTACTATTGTATACAGGTACAGATTAGGTGAAACTTCGATCAACAGCAGTAACTGCGAGAGGGATCTTAGAGTCCTACTGGACAATCACTTAAATATGAGGCAGCAGTGTGCTGCAGCCACCAAAAAAGTCAACACTGTTCTGGGCTGCATTAACAGAGGGATAGAATCAAGATCACGTGAAGTGTTAGTACCTCTTTATAATGCCTTGGTAAGACAACACTTGGAATACTGCATCCAATTTTGGTCAAAAATATAAAAAAAGATATTGAAACTCTGGAAAGAGTGCAGAGAAGAGCGACAAAGATGATTGGGGGGCTGAAGGTTAAAACACATGAATAATGGTTGCAGGAATTGGGTATGTTGAATCTAGTGAAGAGAAAGTGTGGAGACATGATAGCAGTCTTCCAATATTTGAGGGGCTGCCACAAAGAAGAGGGGGTCAACCTATTTTCCAAAGCACCAGAAGGCAAGACAAACAATGGATGGAAACTGAACAAGAAGCAACCTAGAACTAAGGAAAAATTTCCTGACAGTAAGAACAATCAACCAGCGGAACAGCTTGCCTTCAGAAGTTGTGAGTGCTCCAACACTGGAGGCTTTTAAGAACACACTGGACAGCCATTTGTCTAAAATGGTATATGGTTTCCTGCTTGAGCAGGGGGTTGGACTAGAACAGGCATGTCAAACTGCCGGCCCACGGGCCAGATGCCTCACGCCGAAACCGCACCCACCCCATTGCTGGCAATGGAGAAAAAGTCACGATACATCGTGTGACGTCACATGACGTAGCAAGTTTGACATGCCTGGAGTAGAAGATCTCCAAGTTCCCTTCTGACTCTGTTATTGTTATGGCACACTCCAGTCTCCCAGACTCAACTGCAAGCCCTGGATGGCAGGCTTTCAAGGCCCCGGCGTGTCGGCTGCTACTGGTGAATGTTAGATCAGTTTATAATAAAGCCACCTTGATTCACAACTTAATTGTTGAGGAAAAGGATGATCTAGCATGTGTTACTAAGACCTGGCTGGGACAAGAGGGCAGGGTTCCACTTACTGAGATATGCCCAACCAGTTTCCAGGTTTGGCACCAGCTGAGACCCGAGGGTAGGGGAGGTGGGGAGGTCTCTAGGGAACTTGCTCCACAGATTGTCAGATGAGAGATGCTGTGTCAAGCATAAGAAATCAGGAGCTGTTGACCTGGAATTAGGGGACAGCATAGGAAGTATGAATTGTGAATATGTGCAGATGGCCCTGCTGTCTTTGGGCACTTGCAGAGTCATGGATGCAGGGTCATGAAAGGACAGCAAGGAAAACACCCCATGTCCCAGCCCACCCGGGAACATATGGTGTCTTTAGGGAAACACCCAAAAGGGAACATTTTTAGCTACTTCTGCTTTCTCCCTTCTTATCTACAGTGTGGCAGCCTTTCTGGGTGCAGTCTTTATCTTATGTGTGTCAGCTTTGCTGGGTGGATTGCTTATGTAATAAAAAAAATATAAAAATAGGGATTTTCTGTCATTCGGGGCTTCTCCCTTTTAGAGGAGCCTGTCTTTGTTCAGCTGAATAAAAACATAAAGCTTAAAGGCAACTTCTGGTTTCCTGTGTTTCTTTATCAAGCAACACCTCAGATCCTGCACAACAGAGCCAGAGCAGTTGAAATGAAATACAGGTTTACTGCATGCTAACACTCTCTGCAAGAATCTGAACTACTAACGGTCAAAGCAAATTGGTGGTAGATAAGAGTCAACAGAATTCAAGGCTGGCAGTGGAGTTCCCTGGACTTATGTTGCTAGAGGATTTCAACTTGCCATCCCTAGGTGCAGGGTGAGAAATAGCTTGGGAATTTATGGCCACCATAAATTGGGGTGCCTCAGGGTTTGGTTCTCTCTCTCCTTCTATTTAACATTTACATGAAGTCGCTGGGTGAGGTGATCTGTTGGTTTGGGGTGAGATATCATCAATATGAGGTTGACACCCAGTTTTGTATCCCTACCCCAGGCCCCTTGAGTGATGCTGTGGCTGTCCTATCCCAATGTTTGGAGGCTGTTGAGGACTGGATGGGGCAAAACGGGCTCCAACTCAACCCTAGCAAGATGGAGTGGCTGTGGGTATTTGGGCCATCTGGAGACAAGGTTCTTCCATTTTTGGTTCTGGATGGGGTTGTACTACCCCAGACAGACCCAGGACACAATCTGGGGGTCCTCCTAGACTCACGGCTCCTGCTCAAAGAGCAGGAGGCAGCTGTGACTAGGAGACCCTTTGCACACCTTCAGGTGGCACACCAGTTGTGCCCATTTCTGGACTGGGAGGCCCTGCTCACAGTGACTCATGCCCTTGTAACCTCTCATTTAGGCTACTGCAATGTGCTCTACATGGGGCTGTCCCTGAAGAACATTCAGAAACTTCAACTACTGCAGAATGTGGCTGCGTGGGTAGTAAATGGTGCCAGATATATGGCACACGTAACACCACTACTGTGTGAGCTGCATTGGTTACTGGTATGTACAGGGCTTTTTTTTCCTCATAGAACGCCCAGAACGGAGTTCCGGCACCTTTTTTGGATGGAACCTTGTAGGGTAGGCAAGGCAGGTTGTATGACGTGTGTGAGTTCCGGCACCTTTTTTTTTTTTTTTTTTTTAGAAAAAAAGCACTAGGTATGTATATTCATGGTGCTGGTTGTCACCTTTAAAATCTTACATGCCTTGTGACTGGGTTACCTGAGGGACTGCCTTTTTCCAAGTCTCTACCCATCCAATTTGATCTAGCAGATTGGGCATGCTGCAGATCCCAACAGCCAAAGAGTGTTGATTGGCAGGTACTAGAAGACAGGCCTTCTGTGCTGTAGCCCCTGCCTTATGGAATATTCTCCCTTCAGGGATTAGAATTGACCCAAGCCTGTTGGCCTTTCACAAGGCTTTAAAAGCCTGGCTGTGTTCCCAAGCCTGGGGTATTGAATGCATTAATGGTCTGGTTTCCTCACTTTATTGCTAACTGGCCAAGTATCTCAGCTGCTGTGTATATTTATTTTGGATGTTTTTTATGGTTTTAAAATGTTTTCATTGTTTTTATTGTATTTTTTTGAATTGTAAGCTGCCCGGAGTCATTGACTGAGATGAGCAGTTATAGAAATTGAATAAACAAATAATAATTAACTTACAGGTCACTTGAAAAGACAAAGCTAGGTGAATACTTACACAATTCTAACATTGTGTGAATTGTTTTCCTCCTAAATTACTATCCCTAAATTATTTTGGTGATATCTAGAAACCTAAATTTTATTTTTAATAGGAAATCTGAAGGACATCTGGGCTCTTTCACTCTAAGAGCTACGTGACATACATGGACATTTTTATTTGAAGAACAGCATACAAATATATGAAATAAATGTATAAAATTTAATTAGAAAAATCTGCAAATGGGTGTGGAGCCTTCCCTCCCTTCCTCACCATCCAGTCAGAGCTGAAGAAGCTTCTTGGATGAGAAGTGAAATGTCTTCAAAGAAAAACAAAGTCCAGTTGCCTCTTGAAAAAGTACCTTTGGGACAATCATGACCTGGATGACTGAGAATCTCCATAGACAATTGACATGATATATATATAGAAAAAAGCATAGTTAACAGGTAAAACCAACAGCAAACTTAAACTTCAAAGTCCTCTGTTAACAGTCTATTATTGTATTTCACTTGCAGAAAGTCCCCAACGGCTTCTAATCTACCATAAACCACCTCAATTGTTGCCTCTGGTCTGTCCAGGACCAAATATCCTCAATTGATTCTTAATAATAAGGCTTTTCCTTAAAATTTTAACTAGGATTTTCCCCAACAATTGGATCCCATTCCCCAAAATCATAAATCTCTGTTGTGGATATCTCCATAGCATTTATTGTTCAAAAAAACCACCTACAGGTTGAAACACAACATCTCTTAACATTTGTTTTCCAGTTAGATATAATAAGTCCATTCCCCAATCTCCATCAATCATCTTAAAAAAATTCAGTTCATCCCTCATCAGTTCTATCAACTTT